TCCGGTGTCACCCTCACTTTCTGCTCCTTTGGAGCTCCGATGTTATCTACAACATCCGTCGAAGAACTACTGACCCGCAGTCACTACAACATCCGACGAAGAACTGCCGACTCGCAGTCACTGCTGACCCCGCAGTCATCGTCCAGTGGATAACGTGCCACTACACGCTCATCTGAAGGGCCGTGCCCAAGATGCCTCGGACTATGTCTGACCACGCCATCAACGGCATGCAGCGCTGCTTCGCAGCGAAAGCAGTGCTCAGTGGGATACGTGCCACTTCACGTGCATCACGGGGGCCTCGCCCTCGATGCCTCGGACTCTGTCCGACCATGTCACGCATGACATGCAGCGACTGCTCCGAATCTTGAGCAGCGCTTAGTTGATTACACGCCACTCCACGATTAACCCGCGAGCCACGCTCGGGTCTCCTGTCCGATACACCGTTGGTCGCTATCGATTCGGACATTCCAATGTCCAGCGCGTTGAGCGTCTCGGTGCCGTGCTCTTACCAATAGACCTTTTGTTTCCAAGCAGAGGTGGGTTCATGACTCGCCAAAGCTCCACCAGGAGACGTGCGCGTAGCGCCCAGGGTCTTGACTCCATGGCTCATGGTGTTCCAAACATGCCTTTCCTAGGATGAGGTCTAACCTTGCATTCAAGACTAAACTAGACAGCGTTCCACGCAATCAAGGTCAAGAAACTTGACTCCGAGTTCCACAGGACCGTGACATGCGTCCCCGTCGCTAGACGAGCAGGGATGATGTCACCTAACCGCACATTCAGCGCCTCAGCTTACAGCTGACTTTATTTCATCGTGGAGCGTCGAGAATAATCGCCTGACGCCCCGGAATCGATGAGGATCTTCCATGGCGTCTCGAAGACCTTTACGGTTGCCACTACGACCAGCAAGCACGGCTTGCATACACGTTACGTGTTCAAGAGCACGGGGCTCTTCGGGGAAGGGCCCTGTTGACCTCTACCTCTTTGAGGCTCAACAGAACTCAGTTCTTCCCCAGTAGGTCGCCCCGCGCCCACTGAGTGCTGTCGTTTCCCCGCGACGAACCAGACTGGTAGGCATTGGGGCGATGGTTCGATGAACCTTGACGCGCATTGCGTAGAGGGAAACCGCTCCATAGTTGACGGGTGTCTCCACAGACAAAACACCGTCGTGTGTTTGTATGCTGCCCGGCAGTTCGGAGCTCTCCTCCCTCGTCCTCAGCATAGTTGAGATCCATGGGCATAGACCCGCTCGACGTGCTGTTGGAGTGTGCACTCCAACCAAGTCGTACCAACTTGAAATTGAATTTGGCATTCAATGCCACATTCACCGCCCTTTAACCGAAGACGGGTGCACTGGGAATACTTCCATTCTGGCAACGCCAGTGCGGAGGCCGTCCATAAAGATGGTCACTGTGACCGCCTCCGGAAGGGGATCTATTGCCATCTCGGCAATGAGAGTTCGCATCTCTTCGACAAAGTCCACCAATTCCTTGTTGCCCTGTCGAGCGGCAAGGAAACGCGATCGC